AAAACAAGATCGATCAGCGAGGTGAAATACTCAGTTCCGTTAATCGCGCCTCCTATAAGTGTGTCACACACACACACACACACACACCACCACCACCACCACAAATCAAATATCACAATTGACATCATATTTCCTAATAATCATTTAAGTCCCTCCTTTAACCTCTATGCAACCTGTTTTACTTAGCCAGGGGAGGAAGCACGAAAAAAATTCAAACCTGTTTATCAGGATGGATCGATCAGGAATGCTCTCTCCAAATCGAAACCATTGGCTGACCAATGGTCATTATTTTTTGTCACCGCAATTCGATTTATTGTGCTTTTTATTATTGTTGAAAGCATCATACCAAAAATGATGCCAGATTTAGAAGAGTAACCATGGTGAAAACTCAAACAAAATTCTGCACAATCGTGCCCAGCGGAGGTAAAATGCCCTGGAATGTTGTTCCAAATGATTTTACACTCAGAGAACAAATCAATCAATTGAACGGCCGATCGATTTCTGTGTAGCTGGTCCCGGACGGGTAGACTANGGTAGACTAACTGAACAACTAAAGGCGTGGTGTTGTTGGCTCTCGCGGAAGGCGGGGGGGGGGCTCGATTAAAAAGGGAAACAAATTACGAACTGATGAGCTGCGAAGCAATACGAAGCACGTTATTGACAAACACGAATAAGAGAGAAAAGTGGAACTTTGAAAAAAAAATTAGACGCAGCCAAACGAGAGATCCAATCTTTGTGTGCATCGTAGCGTGGTACAGTGAGCGACATACGAAGATACAACTGAGGATGAAATTAATTAAACTAGGCGACGACAGAGCCTATCGATCAAGTGACATAATAGAGAGCGAGAGAGAGGGGTGAGAGGTACGTTGTACTGGGATCTGAGAAACCGAACGAAGCTAGATATCACGTAGAACGTTGCTTACAGCCAAAAGAAATTTCCCTTCTCCATCTGAACAAACCGCTCCAATTCAAGGTCGCATACACAAAAAGGCCGGTGTGTGGACGAAGAAGAGAGTGATGCAAACTGACCGACGTATACATGCATACAGGATAAGTGCCACACCTAGTAACCACTCAGTTCGAAATCTCTTCCACATGAACCATGTGATCTATTTGGCGATACGTTCGGCTCTCACAAATGCTAATGAAGGAAACGGGCAATTCTAAGCAATGATCACTATCGGCAAATCAATAATCTCGAAGGGATTCGAACCCACGCAATCTGTATGGCGGGTTACAAGACCGGTACCGGTCACTATGATCTCTTCATATTTGGTCACCTAAATCCCTCAAGTTTTTCATGCAATCATTGATTATCATTATTGTTATTATTATTTTGACATTATTTGATTATGATTTCTAACTTACCAAGCATATTTAGCGAGCAGGCCACAATCAGTACGAGGAACGTAATACTGAACAATAGTCGCCAGTCCAACATTTCACGCAAATAAGCCAATGTTTCATCGACCGGATCCTCTAATTCAATCGGACCACTGAGCCAGTCTCGCAGTCGTTGATTCGGATCGTCTGGTACCCGTGTGCCGGGCGGATTTGAAAGCGGTACTTCGCAAGGATTGCGCGTCTCGTCACCCAATCGAATCGGAGACGCATAGTTTTCCGCAGCGCATGGCTGACCGGTTGCGGACGGTAGAGCCCCCGGACGATTAACTCCCGACCTCCAGTTCGACTGCTGCGGATTAGGTAGGGCATGAAAATGCGACTGATGGGGTGTCAACGAAGATGATAAACAAAAAACACGAAACGAGGTGGCAGTGATCGCAACATTATAGTGCGGCAAAAAACATATCAGAGAGAGACAGAGCATCTATAGTACATTGCAAAAGCAAAAAGTGATGGATGGATGAAAGATCGCACCAGGAACACGGGATAGAAAGAAGCAGTTTAGATGAACAGCAATCTAAAATAGAATTCACACGCGGGATTAAAACACGTACGTAGAGCTTGCACAAACGTGTGCTTGTGAGATCTGTGAACGAGGATGAGGGGAGTTAAAAGAGAACGAAATCAGCTCAGCTAAGCACAGAGTGAACTCGGTATAAATACAACAATAGATGTCGTAAGTTGATTCAGTTCTCCGATAGTGCGTCGTTTGTGCTTATATTCAGCTGCTTTGCTGTTGGGTAGGGGATATAATGGAAGGAAAGCGTAGACAGTATAAAAATCCACTGTATGTTCGTAGCGCCCCCGTTCTATCAAAACTGAAGTCACGCTACGACACCCGGTGGTAACATCACCAAACTATCACCCCGTGTGTGTGGTCGAATCTCACCACCACTACCACCTGACTTTCCCCATTTGTGTGTTGAACGACAGTCTTTTGATTATCCGCTTTCCCCTTCCTGAAAATTGTATC